GAGCACACATTCTCTCTCCTAGCTTTGCATGTCTCATGTACAGTACAGACTTTAGCTCTTCTATTGTATATCAGCTGTATTGACTCACTGTAGAGTTTTTATCTGTAACAAATAAATTTGTATTAAACCTTTGACTGTATCTATGTCCTATCCATTGCCCAGTGCAATGTTTTCTTTGGGGACAAGGATTCAGGAACAAGGATTCAGCCTTCCATTAGCCCTAAAACTCAGCTCTGTCCCCTGCCTGTAATGTACCACCATAGAGCTGTGCTGAGAAGGGTCTGACCTTGAACCTGTGCTACAGAGGGCTGGGGATTGGCAGTTCTGTGCAAGAGATGGAATTATCCAGTGTAACTTCTGGAATTCTGCTGTACCTACTCTGACCTGAAACTAAATCGCGAAGGACTGCGAGGGGCTGACACAAGGCTGAGATCCAAAATAGGATGAAAGATTGTTGTGCATTATTTCTTGACCTTCTGTTGATAAGTCACTACACCTTCTTGACTTTCAACTCTCCCTAGCAGATCCTTAGGACCCAGGATGTGGCTATGAACCAACAAGTGGAATAGAGGCTGAATATAATGTCTATGTCTTGTAGTTGAGCTCAAATATCCAAGTTTTGCAAGGATGCGTTTTCAGCTCTCTATCCCAACTCTAGGGCAGCAAGCCTTGGGACTAACAGCCTCTTTTCAACTAAAATAGAGGTGAGGACCACCCTCCCTGTGGAGGTAGAGCAAGGCCTGTGCATGAGATGTTCTCTGGATGGGGCCAGTAGGCAGTATTCACAGGAGGAGAGTTATGTTTGCAGTAGCTCATTGCAATGCTGGAAAGAACACAGCCTGCAGTGCTTACATGAGCTTTCTTTATTAGCCTGGGCTATGATGATCTATAACAGACTTGAAAACAGGGGCTGATGGCTACTGGTTAGACAGGGTCACCACACAATGCAGGAGTGAGGCAAAAAGAGGAGGAACAGCAAGAAGCAGATAATAAATAAGAAATATATTCCTTGGTATTCTGGCAGGTCTGAGGGCTACCTTCCCCCCCCATTTATGCACAGATAAGACTTGAGCTAAGTCTTCCCTGATGGAAGATGAGCCCCATTTATACTACCTTTTCCATGTTGCATGATAGAAATCTCAAACCCAGTACATCTCTGAGGCTGTCGGCAGGGATATAGGACAGCTGCACAGAGAAGCTAGGTAGAGTTAAACCAGGGACAGAGCTTAGCCTGGACAGAGGTGTTGCGTGAGAGGATGGGTGTCAACGTGGGTAGAGGTGTTTGAAGGAAGATGAAGGGTGTCTGAACTGTACTGTAAAGTCCTGAGAAATAATGAACAGTGTTTTGCAGGTCTTCAAGCCTGCACAAGGCTGGAAACTGCTGGGCCTGTTTAAAGGTGGAGAGAAGGGCCAGTGTGTGTGCTCCTGCTCCCCGGCTCCCCCTGCTCCTGCTCCCTCTCCCCAACCTCTCCTTTTCCTTTCACTCTGGGAGACCCCTACAAGTGACCTGTGTCTAGAGACAAGCGGGAGTGGTAGGGAGGGGTTTCTGTTGTGCTCAGCTGACGATGCTGTTTGCATGGGCTCAGGCTGTGGGCCATGCTTCCGCTGCTCTTTCACTCTCTGCTGCCGTCCTCAGTTCCAAATCTTGAGGAAGCTGTCCCAGGAGCCAGTGGCAACGGCCATGCCATCTGCCGTCACCCCCAGGCAGCTCACTCTGTTGTCATGGCCAGAAAGGATTCCTATGGGGGGAAAGAAGAGAGGTCAGGAAAAAGCAGCGGGGCCTGGAAGAGGTGGAGGGGTTGACCACACTGAGGACACTCATTGTAGGCTGTGTACCTACACCCCTGTGTATTGCGCTGTCTGTTCCTGCACAATGTGTTACAGTCAGTACACGGCTAACAAGAACAAACATGCAGAAGAACATTTGCACGTGGCATACAACCACCACCCATGGGACTGGCCAAAGAACAATGTTCTTGGGAAGGTCTGGCTAGCTGAATCCTCATATAACTGCTTTCACCCCGGAGCGATGGTAGGACTAAGAAAGGATGGCATCCTTGATAAGACTGAGAAATAGCAATGCCATTGGTGGGCTGTGTTATAAATTTTCAGAGGCTAGGGGCCACATCTGAAAGAAAAAATGGCGCTTGGCTGTATCTTGTGTATGAGCATCAGAGAGTATCCAAAGACGTTGGATGAAAGCCCAGGTCCACGCCCAGCTCAGTGCCTGGCCACCAAGAGGCACTGTGAGTAGCTGGAACTGGCAAACGGCAAAGGCTAGGAGAAAGTAGGAAATACTAGTAGTGCTTGTGAGCAGTTTTAGCTAATAGGAACCGCAATGCTCTTTTCCCCCTTGAAACAATGTTGTTTAAAGTCCTGACTTCCTTAACATTAAAACAATAGTTCTTCTACACAAAAGATAGTTGCACTACTTATGGTGTGCTCCTTAAGTGTGAGGAAGCCTTATTTGGTTTCAGTCAGTATAGGATGTGTCTGTTTCAGAAAAAATAAGGGCCTTTTCCTTGCCTTGGTAGGGACAGAAGACCTTGCAGGGAATGAAAGAGGGACCTCCAGGAGCCACTCACCCACACGCTCTGCTTTCAGGGAGTCCCAGATGTTGCAGTTGAAGTCATCATATCCAGCAAGCAAGAGGCGCCCACTGCGGGAGAAGGCGACTGATGTGATTCCACAGATGATGCTTTCATGAGAGTACACTATGAGCTCCTGGTCTGCCCGGAGGTCAAAGAGACGGCAGGTGGCATCATCTGAGCCGGTGCAGATGGCTTCACCGTTAGGGAAGAACTGAGGAGGGCACACACCAGATTGTCATCAGGCTGTGCTGTACAGATTTCCTCAACATCTTCGCCTCCCTGCTAACCACCGGGAAGCCATGGAGGTAGGAAAACCCAGTGGGACAAGACATTGCATTGTAGAAGTTGAGTCTGCTGGAGGGTAAGACTGATGCTTTTTCTAAGACCAAGCAGTCCCCTTCCACTTCAAGAAAGCCAATGACCTAGGGGCTAGAGCTATTGCAAGACATCCCAGTGCTTGAGGAAGGATTATTGTCTCTTTAACTCTAGCTGTTACTTCAGGGCTTGACAAGTGTCCACCTATTATCCCCCAGATGGGGTCTGGCACGGTTCAGAGCTACAAGAGCCTTCCTCTGTCTGATCCTTATACCCCAACCTTCTCCCCTACACACTCCTTTTGCGTGTCCTCACTCCGAGGAGCAAAAAAGAGCTCCTCAGGAGCAGGTGTGGCAGAAAACCATATGGCTGGCAGGGTAGCCACCGGACAGGTGAGAAAGGCCGCACTAATTGAAGTTAGTGGAGGGTGGTTCAAGCAGCAGACATTGCAGGAAGCTGGCAGACTCATTTTGTTAGCAGAAAGGGATTAAACCGACAAGTTTCTTGTCCTGCCACCTCTAAGGCTCTGGTTTGAACCCTTGCCTCTGAGGGGGATACTTGCCCCCAAATGTCTGACCTGCCTCCTGTGAAGATTTCATCTTCAGAAGATCTCCCTATGATCCCAAGTTACCACCTCTGCTGTCTGGAGCTGACCAAGACCATCAGCTGAGTTAGGAATTTCCGCTGCCTCACTTGTGTCTTGTGCCAGGGCTCCTGGAGCATGCCTGAACTGTGGTTCCCAACAGCTGCTATGAGCAAAGCTGCGCCAGCACCTTTGTTAGGGTGCTGAACTCCACAGACCACAGTGTGCTGGAAGAGTCCAAGCAGCACTTTGAGAATGGCAGTCAGACCTAGATGCTTTGGTGCCCTGGTGTCTAGGAAGAGCCAGCCTCCAAACTTCAGTGAACTCAGGCCCTCCCTGCTTTAGGCTGGATCATGGGGCCAAGGTCTCCCGAGACCCTCATTGCCCCCATAATTGTGACAGCCTCTTTCAACCTTGTCCCAAGACCCTATTTCAGAGCTGGTCCACCCTCCATTTTCCTTTCCTCCCCGCCACTGTGCAGACAGCATACATACGCAGATGGCATTGATATCGGATTCATGCCCTGAGAAGGTCTGACGGCAGGTGCCCTCCCGCACGTCCCACAGTTTGGCAGTAGCATCGCAGGCCCCAGAGATGAAGAGTTTGAAGTCTGGGGAGACAGCCAAGCTCATACAGTCTCCAGTGTGACCCATGAACACAGTCTTCTGCTGCCCCGTCTCAATGTCCCAGAGCGCACTGCGGGAGAAGAGAGAACTCAGAGCCAACCCAGGCAGAGCAGATCTACAGCTGGGCTGGAGAGCCATCCTACTCACAAACAAAAGGAGGGAAGCAATGGGCCTGGCTACAGCATGGGAAAACAGGTGAGAGCATCGCTGGAGTCAGCTGTATACAACAGGAGATACCTTCACAGCTATTGCTCGTCACACCTTTGCCAAAGCAAAGTTAGACCAAGGCTGGGGGTGTGTGAGGTTTGATCGTATTCCCATAACTGCAACAGCTGAAGGGAATACTGAGAGGAGGTAAGAGGGACCTACAGGCAAACAGCTGAAAAAGGTCTGCTGTATCCATGCTCGTAGGATGCACAGGCCATGTTCACTGGGATCCCACACTAGAACCAGGTGAACAAGCCTCATGTAACCTTGATCTTTGATGGAAATGCCACATCCTGACTTGTGCTTGGTCAAGAAGTTCTTCCAAAGCAGGTGTTGGGATAGGGTGAGGATGAATAAAGACTCGACACTGCTCAGAGTCACAGCACAGCGAGACCTCAGAGCCAGGAACCAAAGGATCCACGCACTGGCTTTGCAGGTGTCCTTTGCACAGTGGGTAAACTTGAGAAGTGGAGCATGTATGTGGGCTTCACATAAATTTACAATGCTTTGTGTCCT